CTCTAAGAGAATATTCCTCCCGTATTATTCAGGTGTTATTATGTGTTATTCGAGTATTATTTATGTATTATTGTGCTATTATAATACCGGGAATATTCTCATAACACAATAACACGTGAATAACATACAATAACATCTAAATAATACTGAATAACACGGGGGGAATATTCTTCGGTATTACCGAGCAGATTTTTTTTTTCTGGCACCTCCACGTGACATGATTTTATTGAACTCTGTACGTAACTCTACGTGCGGAGTCCTATGCAATATTTTTTCATAACATATAAATTAAGAAATATTTACAATGTGTATTTACATATCTAACCCCTAAACTACAATTTTCACTTTTATCACATTAATTTATGCATGAAAATGTGCATTTCACGTTTTGAAAGTTATATTGTATTATTTTTTATGTGATATAAATTAGTATAGTAGGAATTGGGTATTATACATGTATGTAAAAAAGCAAAGTTTAGGGTTAGATATGTAAATATGTAGGAATTGGGCCGTATGTATGTAAATGCCTCAAATATGAAATAGGTATTTATAATGTTAATACACATAACATGAAAATTATACCTAACGTTTGGACATTTCATTCGTGAAACAGCGGAACAAAGCTATCTAGAAACATGATTGACACACGCATCTGTGGTTTAAAATGACGAAAAAATGTCGTTATGTTGAAACTTCAGTAGCATCACTCTACTAAATAAAAACAAATTCACGCGTCAACATTCGCTGCAACGGAACGAAACTTCACTAGTTTCTCAAACGAAATTTCTCTCTCTCTCTCTAAAAAAACTATAATTATTTACTCTACCTTTGATACTTTTGATGAAATTTATAAAGATTGACTTAGCTCGACTAAATGTGCCCTATAATTATCATAGATATTTTGACCTTAAAGAAAATATGCATTAAATTATTATTTTTTTGAGAAAAGAAATAAATATAAAGTTAGCATATAGTTTAAAATTATGACGTCATAACTCATCACGTTGACTGAAATTCTTAGTGCATTGACAATTTCTATTACATTGCAATTAACCATCTACAGAATTAAGCACATGTGAAAAGACGTTCATGCCCATCCCGATAGAGAGCCAATAAGTCTACAAACATTTGATTTTTGAAAAAAAGAAATATTTTCCTAAGTACTAAAAGAAATTTATTTGTATTAATCAAGTAAATATGAAACACTTAGGTTACTGTGCAAGTCCATGACGTCTTGAAGATAAACATGTGATATAAGTGTCGAGTAACAAAGCAAATTATGATGGACCCAGTTGCACCACTTTGACATGGAGGCTCAGTTCGATCACTTTGATAGATAGACTTAGTTTGACTACTTTAACAGGTGAGCTCAACACGACAACTTCAGCATATGGGCTCAATTTGACCACTTCATTAAATGGCCTCAACACGCTTTAGTGATATAAACCTTCAAGACCCATGGATTCTGATATCATACCCATGTGCGAGTTTCCCCTAAATAAAAATGGCCTGAATTTGGTCATGCAATATCATGAGTTTATTTTATTTCATTTTGTCACTATTATATATATATCAAATGGTTGATCGTCTGATCAACTCCATAGTCTGACCGTAAGACGGACCCCCTTCTAGAAAGTTGTGCAATTTGATCTTATGCAATGATCGAACCCCTGACCCGATGGACTTACACCAAAGGCCACAACCAATGAGTCAGGCTAAGACACACACATGCATTGAAAAGTTTGGACTTGAGCGCCCCATAAATTCAAATTTAAATATTATGTTTATAATTGAATTAAAATAGCTGTGCCATTTGGCGTTATGCTTAACCTCATCGTTGGAGCAAAGCAAAAAAATCCTATGATGAATCCCTTAGTCGTAATTCTATGGTAAATTATGCAAAAGGGGACACGTGGAGTCCTTTTTAACATGTATTTATTATATAGTATTCTAATAAAAAATCAATCATGATTAATTTTAAAAATGAGACTAACATTGAATTAATTAATTAAATTTAGTATTGCAATGAGTCTAAGGCAGCTCTAAGGCAGCTTATAAGTGCGAGACGTTTTTAAAAAAGCCGCAATATCGTTTGGTTCATGCGTTTTGTCAATTTATCCTAAAAGTCAGTTCAATTTTTACACTAAACGCAAGACCGTGGGTTAAACCCCACGGTTGACTTGCGAACCGTGTTTTAAGATAAACTGTTTATTCTGAAACGCACCCTAAAAATTAATAAAAATTTGGCTATATTATCAATTATAAAATGAGATTTATTTTTAAAAAAATAGCTCAAATTATTTGTCATATTCAATTTTAATTTGCATTAAATTTAAAACTTTTATAAATAAAGAACACGTAAAAATATGACACGTGGCACACTGTAGCTCACCAGATGCAAGTCCCCAAAAATATGACGCGTGGATGCGACGTTTCAAGCGAACCATCACGCCGGTTCAGACGAACCGGCCGAACGTTACCATCAATGTTATCTGCCCGCACAGAAATAAATTATGCGGGGAAAATGATTGGCCGCAATAAAAAAGTGAGCGGCAAACGGTGGTGATGGGCGACGCGCGTATCTGCCGCCGACGTGGACGATTAAAAATAATCGACACAGTACGGCGCAGTAACAGCCGCCATCGTCTTTTACTGCGTGCAATTAATATTTTCCTATGCGGCTACGCTGCACTCAATCTCTTATGAGGTCGCTTTAATGGCTCGAGGTGATTATGAAAATAAACCAAGTATATTATAAATAGATTCCAAGCTTCACTCAAATCTTTTATGAGGTTGCTTTAATGGCTCGAGGAGATTTGGAAATAAATGGCCAACACACCAATGATTTATTTATTTATTTATTATTCATAAAGTTATATATAT